GCAGCCTCTTCCTCCAGACGCAGCAGATGGCGCCGGAAACACGGCGCTACATGTTGCTGCCCGTGCAGGACATGTCGAATGTGTCGATTTACTACTCGAGGCAGGTGCTTTACCGGACGGAGGCCCTGGAGCTACAACGCCTTTGTACGCAGCGGTGGCGCATGGCCATATTGAAGTTGTTCAGCTGCTGCTACAAGCTGCAGCCAACCTGGAGATCATGATGGATGATGGAAGCACTGCTTTGCATGCTGCAGCGGCTGGTGGTGTCTTGAAAGTTCTGAGGGTGCTTCTTGAGGCAGGGTCTGACAAAGACAGGCTCATTGCAGATGGTGATCTCATCACTGCTTTGCATATGGCAGCTGCAAACGGACACCTGGAGGTTTTGGAGCTTTTGGTGGAGGCCCGGGCCGATACAACTGTTGGTCGTGGAGCGGCTGATGGAACTGCATTGCATTGGGCAGCTGAGATGGGCCACGTTGAATGCGTAGAGTTGTTGCTGAAAAGTGGGATGAACTTTGAAGATGTGACCAGCCATGGTGCAACAGCCTTGCATTGGGCCGCTGAGAAAGGACAACAGCAGGTTGTGGAGCTGTTACTGGAGGCTGGGGCTGACAAGGACAAGGCCACCACGCTGGGGGCAACTGCTTGGAACTTGGCAATTGAACATGGCCACCTAGAAGTTGCGCAGCTGCTGGGAGAAATGTTAGGCAATGAGCATCCTGGGAGGCTCATTTGAAAGCCAGCGGAAGATGCTGAATAGGAAGACAGTCATGATTCATGACCATGGGCTCAGAAAGCCTTAGCATTGCATTAACCATACTGATATTTACTGTTATTATATAGATTGAGGGTCACAATATGTCACAACCATCCAGTGTTATATACAGGCAACCATGGTGTTGAAAAGCTCTGTGCAGCGACGTTGTTGCTGCGCCAGGAGCTGTTTTGGCATGAATCCAATAGAAACCACTTTGTTGTGGGAAGGTAGATGCGTATTGCACCTCTTTTATAAGACATATCGAGGGATATCCTTTGAGAGTGAGCACTGAGCACTGCACTGAAAATTAAGAGGTCGTCCTGTTGATTTTTCTGGTGGCAAATGTCCTTGGGTGGGGCCCGGGTGGGGCCTCTATTTATATACACTGTGACACTGTTCCGGACTCAAGCAAATCCAATTGGAACTTCAAGTTTGCGTAAGCCTGCACCAAGACGGAGAAGCAACATCCATTCTTAGATCTGTGCAGAACCTACGATTCTGTAGACCGACCTTTGCAAACTGATACAAACTGCAACTGCAGTGGAACTGCGAGGCTTCCATTGGGATTGCTTCTTGGGCTCTCCCTTCGAGATTAAACCACCTTGTCACAGTTTTTGGCATACAGAAACTGCTGAAAGCATCTAAAAACATCTGTCCCAGACATGATCAGTGAATTAACAGACTATATGTAACAATCCCAGGACTTTACCCATATCTTGAAATCTCCTCGAAAACTTTCCTGATCGCCCCACAAAAATCCAAGAAAACACTCTTTTTGGGGGGTTCCCAAACACATCCCTTCGCCAGGGCATGACGGAGATCAAGAGACAGGTGTGGCATTTGGGAGTTGGGCCTGTTGACTTGGGCCTCGAAACGAAGCGCCCGAGGTTGAGGACCGAGAGTTCCTCGTAGTGCGGCGAGTGATGGTGGAAGCTGAGTGATGGTGGAGACATCGGCTCCTCATGCTTCAACCACCAGTCTCTTTGAGTGCCATTGTCTCATTGGTGGACAGATTCCCTTTTGTGCCATTGGCAGAGGTCAACCCTGTTGATGTCCAAGAAGGAACTAGCAAACTAGCAGCTGAGCACGTTCACCCGGTATCCAACGTATCGGGGGGTACGATCCGACCTCATTCCAAAGTCCAAACTCCTCCGCAGCCCATCAGTCAATAGTTATACAGTATATTTGATGATATGTGTGAGTAGCTATTACGGTAGTATTTTTCTGTCGTGCGTGAAGCTAATTTCTCATCTTCACGGGGCGTAGATACCACAGCAAAGTCAGATGGCCAATACATGCCGATGCAATCCAAGCCTCCAAGCACAAAGACCAAGACCCAAACGGAACCACAAAAGCCTTTTTTGCATTTGTGATTGTCTTTCACGGTACAGCTTTTCCATCAACCCAGTCGCCCTTGTACTAGGTATATACTATAACAAGCAGTTGCAAACTCCAGAAACGCTGGACGTGGATGGATTATTGTTGTTCTCTAATGGCCACTGGATGTGAAGGATGATTGGTCAACGTTTTGGGAAGCAAAAGGATCAAAAGGGTGCATGCAAGAAGGCCAGTTGGGTTTGCTGTTTGCTTTTAAGTGGGAAACCCCCAACCAATTTGTTGTGGTCTATGTCCTTCTTCCAGTGGGTCGGGAATCTCCCTGTTCTAATACACAACCATTTGTTAGGTGATCACTTTGGCAGGAGGTGCATGATGTTGATAGCCAGGACCACTTTGGGCTGATGGTCCCAGAGTTTGCTTACCAAAGTCGGCATTACATGTTGGTATATAGGTGACCGGTAGGTGGTGCTCAAGTTTGGGACCTTTTTTGACGCTTTGCCCACTCTACCAGTGAGTGAAGATGAGTGACCCAAAACTGGAGCAGCCGGTGTGGTGTTTCTTTAGATCATGCCCAGCCGGTGGTTGGTGGAGCACCTTGCTTGGGGGAGCACGTCGGAACTTCATCCGTGCCTCTAGAGGTCATGATGAAGATGGGCAAGACCGTGGAGGTTGGGGGTTTTGCGAAGTGAGTAGGGTCATGTTCATTGGGTGAACTGAGATAGGGAGACCCCCCAGCTCGACCCCCGTACTGCACCCCAGTGCTGGGACAGTCTCCTCGTTCTGACACTTCCATACAAGTACAAGGGGAGCAACTGATTTTTCTCGTGACTCACTGGAATCAAAGAAGATAGTCAATTGACACCCCTTCCAATCTCCCAGGACCAGGCCGACCTTCTTTTCTTCTGCAGGGTTCAGGCTATCCTCCAGACTCTAGAAGCAGATGATGCTACACCGTCCGAGTTGGTAACTTCCGAAGCTCCTTCAATTGGTCAGCGAAAGCACATGTATCGTACAAGCTGATTTTGGCTCTCCTATACCAAAAGAGGTAGAAGGCTGCTAGCATTCATCCTGCACCTTGCCGGTCAGTCTTTTTCCGAGCAGCCGCCTTAGGGAGCCTGGTGAACGTGCTTTACTTCTTTCCCATGCACCACGGTTCGTCTGTTCGGATGGTCTTCCATGGATGGGAAAACACCGCTGAACCGCGGGCTGCTTGATGCACATCCGGAGGTGCATCCGATGCACCTGATCAATGCGAAGCACCATGGTGCTTATATAAGGTTCCTACTCCATCTTGTGGTTCCCTGGTTCTTGACCGCAGAGATCTCTCATCCGTACCGCCGCACGTCATTAAAACAACACCTTTCCATATCAGGTGAAGACATCTTTGAGAGGCTGTTGGTCTGTTTTCCTCTGGATCAAACTGGGAGGTCTCCCGATTTGCACACCCATTTGCGCACTGACCCGAACTGGCAGGAGCCACCTGTGGCTGAACCAGGTGCAAAGAGGAGAGGGCGAGAGATGAGCCCACGCATGAAGCAGCGGTGTGTTTGCAGCACAGGGGGAGAGGCAGGGACGGTGGCTCCTCCGAGTTTCTAGTATCCACCGTAGTGGTCGTCACTCAGGATCATGCAGGATGCTACAACTGTATTATATAACATTGTAAATAACTATATATAGACAAATATGTACAATCATATACAGTAAGAATCTATGAGCAAATATCTTTCCGCATTTCCGTCATGCTATGCATAGCATGGACGACAGCCGTGGAAAGTCTTCCAAGTTTCGAGCAGATCACTGGCAAATTTTGCATGGCCAGAACTGGACAGCGCTGCAAACATGGTGCATCAACTACGAGCAGCCTCGAACAAATCTCGTAGGCAAATCATAAGGTGCCAACTGCCAACCACAGCATGCACAAAAAAGCAATACAATTGGTCCTTTTGCACTTCTGCGTTGAGTGCATTTCTTTTACATTTGACAAATGAAGAACGTGACGGTCCATTCTTTTTTGACCCATCGAGTTGCTCTGGCTTGACCATCATATGGATGGGTTTGTGACTAAGACACGCTTTTGAATCCCAAGAGATCCCGGAAAACCATCAGTCATGGGTCCTGGTCGCAAGAAAGACCCCTCCGACTCCGTGTTACGGAGAGTGCATAGAGAGAGAGAGAGAGAGAGAGAAAGAGAGAGTCCTCTTTTTTCACTCGAAGGCTCGGCGTTTGAAAGAGAGAGAGAGAGAGATCACGGTTTTTCCATTCAAGAAGCAAGTTCAGCTTGTGCTCTCCAGAGGTGCTGCTTGTGTTAACGCTTCATGCTCCTCCGATGTTCCTCCATGCTCCACGGAGACCGCCACGCTCAACGGTGAACCGCGGACGGAGCGCTGCGCTGCGTTGCGTGAGGACGCCGCACGTGGATTTGGTCGATCCACGGATTGATGATCTCATGAGGCGGGGACGGCTCTCAAAACGTACTCTGTTCGAGGATCTCTCGCCTATAAGTGATGAGATCCCTAGGGTGTGACTAGGATATCTCGGGGCACAGTTTAGCAATGCTATATAAATTTCTATACAATATTCCCCTAGCCCAGTCCACCCTTTCATGGGCAGACCCGTTATCATCCATCGGCGAGGGGATTCCCATGTGAATCGGCCATCGATCTCGGCTGACCTGACTGGCCATCTCGGGTGGTGCATGAAGTGTGTGAACATCCTCCCAAACAGAAGATCCCCTCATCCTTTTCATGAAAAAGCCTGTGAACTGGATGGAACTGGAATCTCCCTGCGGGTCCACTTCTTTTGGGGTCCACTACTCAACCTGTTTGCTCGCCGTACTCCGATTCGCACTGGGGCGTCCCGAATGTGCGTCGCGTGAGTAGCGAAGCAACCGGACGTGTCTGGACCGTGGCTCGAGTGGCTCCAGCATCTTCCGTGGGGCACCCCGAGCACGGCCGCGACACGGTGGAGGTGAGATGGGGCATCTGTCCGGGGAGGGTGGAATGGCGGCCAGGTGCTTGGGTTGAGGTGCACTAGTTGTACAAAGAAGTCCAAGTCCAGCTTATCAACGTCTTCTTTTTATTGGTTATAGAGGTTTATACAGGTTTGGAACTACATCACAGCCTGCAAAGGCAATTCTCACGAGCTATTTGGGGCCCAAACCCCTTGCAATGCCGGGAGGACACTCTGACTTACTAAACAAAAGGGCGTGGCAAATGGTCCTTTGGAAGACAACTCTCCTTGACAAGCAATGGCAAGGGTTTCGCACTTTCCATGTTCGTGATGTAGAGTGTACTCATTTGGTCAGAGCACCTCCTTGTGACATCGACGACATGGACCATCCCAGTGGGCCAGAATTGGGATCCTCGTGTTTTTCCGGTCGAAGCAAAGCGTTCGGAAACGCTCCTCGAAGAATGGAAACCCAGTGAGTAAGGGATCCCCTTATCTCTCCACAGAGAGAAAAAAAGAGAGAGTGGAGAGAGAGCAAATCACATCACCCACTTGTGATGGATTCCCTTTGTTGCAAGTCCTGATCTGGCAGTCTGGCAATCTGTTTTGCTTGCGGTCTACCAAAGTGTTAGGTGCCAGGAATTCCGTTTGTTTCATTGAAACGTGATACCCTACACATCCTTATTACACTAGTGCTGTTTTATCATTTGTTTGAGACTGCCTGAAATGAAGTGGATGGCATGGCCCCCTTAGATGACCATTTCCTATACAAACAGGTGGTGAACTCCACTTCCATGAGTGTTTCAGGGAGTTTGTCTTCTTCGTACCTTTTGGCACCCTTGTTTTCAAGCACACACCCAAAACGGGTGACTCGCCCACGCGAATTAAAACGATCGGTTCTCGTGGGAGATCAGTTTAGCCCCCTTGTTGAACTGAGTTGAGTGACAGACCTTGGTTCTTACAAGTCTGGCCATAGAACCGTGCTTGCCGAGAAGAGAGTTTTCAACACCAAGGGACCAAGGGAGGTAGAAAGGTTCCATCCATGATGATCACCGAAAACGGACAACCAGACGCCATGACGGATGAGAAGAAGAAGACTTCTCGAGCAGCCACCCCACCGCCCAAGGTGCACATGGGACAAGGGTTTGCGTGGTGCGTCGTGTGTTTAATATTAAGTATGCATGCATATATAGCTTTAGTATGCTTTAGGCACTCTTGCCGTGTCATAATACTGATGTGTAGCTGTGTCCCTTCAAGTCATTGTTTTGGAGTGAGAAGTATGAGGCACTCTTTTGGTACTCTTCGTGGATTCATCAATACTGTTGCGGCTGTTGCGGAGGTCAAGTCGTTTCCAGGGCTGTTTAGTGCATTGGAATGCCGGTGGACCTGTGAGATCAACCAGATGAACCAGAATGGAAGAAGATTGGATTAGTCAACATTGAAGTTTGAGAGAGCTAATACACACACTCTCTATATATATATATACATCCTTAATGTTTCAACATGCAAGCAAGGATCTTGGTGACAAACAATGCTGGTTCGATTGTTCGAATGGCTTTATTTTGTGTTTCGATTGGTGATTCCATGTGATTCAAGAGCACCATTGATGGCCAGGAGCGAGTGAAAGAGCCTGAGTCGCTGGGATGCAGCTTCGCATGGGCCAGTACATTCCCTCGTGAAGGGCAATCATATTACTGGTAGAATTCTTGGAGCGCTTCGCAGAACCAGTTATTTTCAGAAAGACCAACAAGCCCTAGCGACCTATTTGGTAAAGTACCAGAAATCGTTCGGACCGCTACCTGAAACGAAACACCAGTTGTCCTGCCGCCGATCGTCTTCTTGTGGGTTGAACCACGGTGAAGCACGGAGTCCCTCTCTGGGGCACCACGGAGTCCCTATCTCTATCGCACGGCCCAATGGGTGCCAAGTGACAATCCACTAACATTGCACATGGTTATTGTTGTGCCATTTATCCAAGATATCAAAGACCGAGTGGAGGACCTGTTTGGTTCAGACCCATCATCTCACCTGTTGACATGGCAGGGGCCTTCTAAGATCCAAGAGGATGGTGGTGAATCCCATCCTCAAAAGGTAGGACCCGGCAAGCCCACCCACACGACATCGGCAAGACTCATGGATCCCAACATTGACGTCTTGGCTCATGATCGCACATAGCATGTCCTTTGAGGGAAAAGTCCGGAGAACTGTGCAAAGAAAGGCCTACTAGGTCCTACTAAGTCCTACTAAATACCTGGATAAAGCCCGGATTTTTAGGCCTTCAGCCAGAATTTAGGCCGCTCGAAGAAACTGAAGATCCAGGTCTAGGCCTCAACCATCGTTGCGCAGTGTTTACGGCGAAACGTCCGTCACCTCTGGTTTTGGGTCGACTCCACCAAGGAAGCCCAAGGAGACGAAGAAGGCCGGAGTCACCGCCGGAGTCACCATGCCCAAAAGGGCCGGTCACTAGAGAGTTTTCTGCTGGCAGATCACGAGTTGTGGAAGAGGAACAGGTTCACCACAAATGCACCTGTGGCCGCTTTCCAAACGCATTTGTGGCTTTCTGTGAGATTGAGTGAGTGTACTCCCACATAGGCAGATCACGTTTCGTAGTTGGACCACAACTGAGTCTTGGACAGTCTTCGGGAAAGGGGCACAGCCACTGGCCTAATATTTGCGAGCATTCGTTCCTTGTCAGGAGGAAGAAGAGAAGGAGTTTGGAGGACCAGCCTTCAACTCAGACACATTTGCGCTAGTTTGTAGTTCTTCCCCTGCCTTGTTGGTGCTTCTTGAACTGAACGGGTGTCAGACCCACAATGGCACAACGGTCTGAAGGCGGACTTCAAAAAGCCAACATGGATGGGTGGCAGCTCACGACTGGGATCATGCTCGTCAGATGCACCGAGGTTGGGAACCTCTTCATCATGGTGACGTCCCACATCCTCATGCGCCATGACAGAGATTTTGAAGGTCTTTGTTTGCCAAGGAAGTGGAAGTCTAGGGAAAGGGCTCCGATGGCTTCCCTCAGGCTGACCACACTGCAAGGCTGCAAGTCTTTTTTTGACTGTGAATTCGAAGATCGTTTCAAAAGGCTGCTGGTTCACTGCGCGGTATCACAAGGAGACTTCCCCAACGTGATGTGGAGGTTGCTTGGGAGAGTTTCCTAGTCTTGAGACAAACCCACATTAGAGGTTAGCCAGTGGCTGGCCTGACCAGGAGGAGCCTTCTGTGACCAAACCCTAGCAAGAGGTTTTGGTGTTGTCAAACAGGATAGGGGGCCAAAGATCGACGAAAAGGTGAATCCAAACGTTCCACAGGTTCTTGTGGAATCGGCTTTTTGATGCCTTTTGCTTGCCTGTAGATTTGAATACTGTATATTAATGTATATTATTTGAATAGATTTAGAAGATGATTCCGTTTCTTGTAGATGTTTCTTTTGGGGCGGGTGACTCTGGGACCGTCTCCGGGTCTATGCCTGAGCCGTAGATCGGTTCCAGCACCGTGTCTGACGCCCAGGTTTTGCATGGCCGCTTCCCTGTCACTTGGGTTATCGGGCAGAGAGGACGAGATGGGGAGGGAGGGCAGCTCAGCAGCTGAGGAAAGACATGGACCTTCCATTGCCTCTCTGTCCCGCCGTAGTGGCAGGCTTCTACGGGTTCGAGTGTGAAGGGCCGGTTGGGCTCATGGGATTGGGCTCAATCTTTCCGTACAGGAGGCAGTCTCGCGGGGGGAGGTGGAAGGGGTGGGATTTCTTCGCTAATCGATTTTCCCTTCGCACGACGCAATTCAAGTACAAGTGGTGCAACTAAACTTGTTCTCAACAAGCGATCTTCATCACATGCCAAATCAATCGCCAAAGCATCACCACGCCTTGCTCACGATATGTTCTGGCGCATCACAAGTGGTGCTGGATTGGTTTCATCATAAGATTGCAAAGCCCCACAACTTCAAAGACCTCTGACAGTTTGAAAGGCCAGTCAGCTAGTGGACTCAGGCACCAGGCTTCAGGTGGTCGGTTTGGAGTGTCATGGGCTTTTTCAATGCTCAAAACCCGGAAGAAGATGAACTGTGCCAGCGATTCTTTTGTTGGAGGAAGAACGTTTCAAACTATTGCTAGGAGTTACTAATTCATAAACCGGAACGTGCAGCAAAGTGAGAAGAATTGTCAAGAAACATGCACTTCTTTGGAATGGGCCTGGACGTTCCGTCTGCAGATGTGGCTGAGGTATGGCTGTGAGGTGTCCCAATATGTCACCCGGCTGTCGGGAATGCGGGATTCGGAGTGATTGCTTCCAGAAAGAAGGATTACCCTCCATCCAACTGATATGGAAGTGAACCCACCCTGTACAGCTCTTGATGTGGTTTCTCCAGTTCCTCGCGCTTTGAGGTGCCTCACTACACCTTCATCGGAGAGCATATCCCATTCCCAAAGAGTAACCTTTGGATATCCCTCCTACTTACCCAAACTACTCCATGTACAGAAATATATACCTACTTGTACATTGACCCTGAAACCACCCCAATGTATATATGTATGCCATATATATACATGGAGCTTTTGTGAACTGGTACGGAATTTCTTCTGTCACCAGGGCTTGCTCCTCGGTACTGACGCAGTCTCATCTCCGGTTGGCCAGCAAAGCGGTCTGGGTTTGGGATGGGAATGGCTGGTAGCCATGGAGTGACCCTCCACCTTTTGAAAGCCTACTGCCTACTGCTGTAAGATTGTGTGTGAGTTGAGATTCTTTCTGGAGAATCTGGATGTTCAGAGCGGATGGAGAGTCCTTCCACAGGCATTTTCACTGGAGTGGATGGTGATTCGAAAGATAGGCTTCTGACCATGGTCAGAAACCGTTTCCTTCAGTGTAACTGTAACTCAAGTTTCCATAAAAATCTAGGAACCAAATGAATAGTGCGAGCGCTTCTTCAAGGAAGCTCCCCCCGCCCGCAGTCGGGGGAGCTTCCTTGAAGAAGCGTGAGCTATCCTGCGTCTGAAGTAGTAGCTTCTTAATCTACTAGCTACACCGTTTGCTTCTACTAGCTACCGACCTAGCTAACCTACCTCTTAGCGGCCTACCCCCCTAAAAAACACAATTAAATACCGATGTAGAACCACTCTATGATTGTACGGACAACTACAAGCAGGGGAACAACTGAGGCCCGAGGCGTTGCCAGTCGAATGAGTTCGTTCTCAACCGAGGTACCAACGGTGAAATCCGTGGTGTGGTTCTTGTGCCCCTCGGCGAGGCTGTGTATTTTTCTGGACCGAACTCGCCCCGCAGCCTCGGCTGCGGGTATTTGAAGCAACTGCCCCAGGTCGTTTTGCGAGTCTTGGACAGGTTGCTACTCAACCCGGACTTTCATCACCCAAAACGACCCAGACTTTCAACCCGGACAAAGACGGTGAGCAGTCAGAAGATGCTGTGCTCATCCCCCCAGATGCATCGTTCAGGACTTCATCGCTCAGTTGGGATCTACATTGTAGTTTTAAACAAAGTTTTTAAATTGGACGGATTCCCAAACCGACAATTCCTTGAAAAGTAGCTGATCCGAGATTGTCCAAGGCATGAAGCCTTCCATGTTGTCTTTTTTGAACCCTCCATCGTCCGGAGAAAAAAGAGAATGCACAGATGAGGCAAAAAACAGCAGGCGGACGCAACTCGTTTCGGTCTGGGGGAGTTCATGGAGGTCGGAATCGGTCGGATCTGAGGTTATCACAGCTCACAAGTCCTCCTGGCGCGCTTCATGCCCGGAGTCTTGGTTCAGACCAACGGCTTGGACTACAACTGCAATGGCTCCTTCGTTTCAAGAGACATCTATGATCTGAGATATGTTTGTAGTCATCCTCCACTGACTGCAGTCTGTTATGGAGCATTTTTGAAGTGTAGCCACATGTAGCCACTGTAGCAAGTTTCCTGGCGCTTTTGACATATTTGAGAAGACCAAGAACGACTAGATAGGACACGGGCACGGGATGACACGGGGTTTTGCACGCTGCAAAAGTCAAGCTGACAGAACTTGCACACGGTATTCCAGTATGTTCCAATGGATTGGATGTCGTTGAATTGATTGTCATTTGTTGCAGGCACTTGGCGTACGCATCAAACAGCGGCTCGCTCACTTGGTTGGTCCTGACACAGCCAGAGATCCAGAGCATGACTGTGGTGTCCCCATGCCGATCAGATCCCGATCGGTCCTATTCCAAGCTATTCAGAGGTTCTCAAGGTCCGATGCCAAGGATCATTCACCGGGGAGGTTCCATGTTTGTTGAGAAGAGGGGTACAACGACCAACTGACCAAGCTCTCATCACCTCGAGTGCCCGGATGGAAAACCCAGGTTATTTGAGCTTCTGGACCACCTTGGCCGGTGCCTTTCTGCTTCATGCAGTGGGCATTTTCGACTTGACCACCTTGGTGAAGGAGTATCCGCTACTTGACCACCTTGGTGAAGGGAGCCTCCGATGGTTGGAGTCTGGTTGCAGGGGTGGAGTGAACACTTGCTACTTCTTCCCAATTCTGCTCAGTGCACTGAGCATGTATCTTCCTACTGCTAACTGGATTTTATTGGATTTTGAACCGTCGGGTGCGGCCAAGTATCACCAAGTTGGCGCGGAAGAGTGGTCGATCGGCCTTTTTCGGCGTGTGTTTTGGGGTACATTGAGATGGAAGACTTTGAGAGTTCGCCACGGTGGTGACGACCGCCACGGTTCGGCACCCTTTCGCCACACGCTCCGTGATTTAAAGCATACGACCAGGTCACACAGCCCAACAGAAATAGACCCATACACAACTTGAGTGTGTCACTGTCCCACTAAATACCTGTAACAGGCAATACAATATGATCACAATTTTTGAAAAAGGCCTGCAACCTGATTATCATCATCCACTGTATGTGCAATACACAACAGTACCACGCCCTCAGATGTCCACTTGATTGCGAGGCAGAGGGATGTCTTCAACATCAAATGAGTTTGTGCTTGGTCAATCCTAAGCTGCATGGCAAGTCTTGGACATAATATATACATGAGATGACTATTGATGAAAGATATTGGCTTGCTTTTCAGTGTGTTTGCTGGCTTGCCACATGAGGTCTTTCTTGACGACCGCCATCATCCTTGGTGACATCTACGCTGTGATCATCCACGTCTGTCATGCCGCTGGGATGGTCAAGCCAGCACGGGCCAACAGGTTCGGAAGATCTGGTAACACTGAGCCGCTGAAGAGGCTTTCATTTGGTGCTTTAGTGTGTTTTAGTTATCCGTTGTTGGTTTAGTACCATACACACGGCATTCTGTCAGTGACAGGACAGACGGGTTTCACGAATTCAGGATGCTCAATACCTGGTACTGGCCTTGTTTGGAACCTGGTCCTGGTGAACCCCTGTGAATTCGGAGGCAGGAGTCGCACGGTGCAGACAATGGTTTTTCAGGATGAGATGGCCATCGCGAGGGTAAATGTTTGAGCTACTTGAAAGCTTTTGACGCAAGAAGTAGCAGCCTTGGCTTGATAGTATAACCCTGAGAGCTCAGGTTTATGATGTTGGACTCCCAACCTCAAGAAATCAGCAACGATCGATGCGTCAATGACCAGAAGGGACCACAGAACCGTCGCTCACGTGCACCACTGGGTCTTGGCCAGATCTCCATTTGACATCATGAGACATCACATAGCTGGAACAGACCCGTCCGAAGACTCGAGTAGGTGTTCGTTTTGATTCTATTGAGGCGAAGGGCAAGGAGCTCACCAGCATCTACGACTTCTTCATCGGAGCGATTGAACGGGGCGGTTTTTGGGAACAGTCGGTGTGAGAGCGCCAAACACGTGCGTGGGCGGTTTGAGGGTTTCTCACGTCGGCTCAGTCATTTGCATCAACAGACCGTCAATTGTCACCTCTATCAGGCGAAATCCACTGACAAACGATGGAAGGTGTAGACCACCGTCCAGCAGGGCACACCTTGAAATTTGGCCGGGAGAAGTGTACCCACTGGGTACCCCCTAAATACGAATCCGAAGAAAGGTGTGCACCATCCAATGACCGGAGACTGCGACTTCGTTGACCATGTTGGCCTGGGGAACTCAGATATACACAGAACCGGACCACTGGAGATCGGATTCTAGATTCTAGATGGTCGCCCATCGATCTGTTCCCAGATGGCTGCAGCCTATAATAGGGGTTCCCACTTCTCAATGGTGTGGCTCTGGATCGGCGTTTTGGTTTTGCGGGTGCTGCTGCCGTTCTGATGCTGGTGCAGGTGCAGGTGCTGGCACTGGATCAGCGTTTTGGTTTTGCAGGTGCTGCTGCCGTGATGATGCTGGTGCAGTTGCAGGTGCTGGCTCTGGATCGGCATTTCGTTTTGCGACATGCCAGGGATGACATCATGTCATGCCAGGGCATGTCAGGCCCAGAATGACATCATGCCACGCCAGGAATGACATCATGTCAGGGACGGCATCATGTACGCCAGGGATGACATGCTTGTCACATTGTGCATGACACCGTGTTGTGCAGCAATGATCATGGTGTCGTCCGGGCAGTTTTGGCTGGTCCTTGCCGATCTTGCAGTTTTACGTCTGTGTTGGGCAAAGCGGGCGCATTCAGCTGATAGATGTTGCGCATATTGGTGGAGTGGTCTGATGTTGCGTGCTGCGGTGACAGCCGTCCGCAGCGTGTCGTTTAAACCCATGCGCCCGCTATCTGGGGTCTGTGCCAGCTGTATTTTTTCACTAAAGCTGGGTGGCCAGGCCTTTATCTGGGACGCCTCAAGCTCGTTGAACGATGAGCAGGTTAGGAAAACCAAATATATATATATATATATCTATCTACACTGTATATATATATATAGATATTTATATACTTATACAAGGGTTTCTTTTACAACAATGCATTGCATTGCGACACCCTAGGGTTTTCCACCACATTTTCAGAAGGTGGCTTGAGTGAGCTTGGGGGCCCAACTACCTTTTGAGCATGTTGTTGGAGTCCCAGGGCATTCTAAACAACAGTTTTCCTTACATCCTCACCCCCTTCACCCTGATGGGCCAGCCAAAGCAGGAACCGCGCTGCACCCTCGTGTCGGAAAGCTGGTTGATGTCCTTCAGCTGCAGGAAAGGGCTCCACATGGTCCGTGAGACGCAGGAATCCCAGATGCTGTCAGATGAAGCATCCCTTCTCTTTTCATCCTTTTTCTGAAATCATTGTGAAAGACCAGAGTGATGTTCTCTCACTCTTGTACCCCCAGTCTCTTGGGGCGTCCCAGAGTGAGTGAAGGACCTTGACGGCTTCGTGCCACGCAGGTCTAAGTCACAACTCTACACACCCGGTTTCATGGGTTCCATGTGTTGCGAATAGCCGTCACTGGGCCGTCACAGACTTGGCTAGAGTGACAGGGCGAAACAAGAATGGATCAAGGAAACACCTTGGCAACATTTGTTGGATTTCATCTTTATGAACCAGATCCAGATTTGGTCCTCCTTGTCGGGCGGATCCCAGTAGCAGGCTAATTAGCTGGATTCCAAGACCCTTTAAAAGGACTCATTGTCATTCATTGTTTTCTCTTGACTGAAATCCCTGGTACAATAGTCATGGCTTCCACAACTGCCAAAAAGAATGGGCTTTGGTCGCGTACATCTATCTACCCTTTGCGACGGCCTTAGATGGTCGACACCGCAAACCGAAGCGATTAACCTCTCCGAATGCTGCTGCCTGGCCGAAGGTGAAGATGGTCGCTGAGGCCCGAGTCTCCTGGACCCTTTTGTTGCTGATCACCTTGGGCTGCTGCCTGGTTGCAGAAGAGAAAACAATTCGTTTTATCCGCAAGCTGTACACCGCAGACCAGGGCACCAAAGAGGACCCTTTGTGAACATGAAAACAGATGCGGGACTTCCGGTTAAATCATGTTAAGAATTTGCATCAGTGGTTCTGGGTTCATAATGATGTACATGTATGCACATGTGTTATAGCTTGCCATATGTAAGATCATCATGGGTACTGATACTGCTTTTCAGCACTCAGCATAAAAAGGAATTCTTAATGATTCTAACGTTTTCCAAACGAGACTTTACCTCATCTCCTTCATATCCCGCTCTCCAACGGTATTTCTGGGTCAACCATCGCTGTGTTGAGACCAAGGCATGGTGGAGAGCCAGCGCCGCCTGGGGAGCACCACGCCATCACCCGTGGCCTTCATGGTTTTGGCACATACCTTGTACGGCAACGCGTGCGCCAAAGGAGCCGCTTTCACCGTAAAAAAGCAGTGGCACTGGGTGTCCCATGCAATAAGGCAGCGAAAACACAAATAACCACATGAGAATAATATGGAGAACCTGTAACTTCCAGGGAAACAGAAGAATCCTTGCGATATCTCAATCTTGTTCATGACAAAAAAGCCTTCGCACGATTCACACCAAGAGAGAAGCATCCAATCCCATGTCGTTTTGGAAAACAAACAATTCTATCTGTGGTATTGAACGTACTAATTGCCGAGATTGCAAGGAGAGGATGAGGAACTCAAGGTAAGGCAAGACAAAATATTAGGAAGGCGTGCCATGACAGAGTTGTAGAACAAGGACGTGGTGGTCTAATTAGTTTAGAACGAGAGTATGAGCGAACTACTAAGTTTGTTAGAAAGAGTCAAAGTAAGAAGCAACTGGAGTGAGGTGCTTGCACGTTTGTGATCATGTAGGCTGCAGCTGAGCATCTATCTATCTATCTATATATACATATATTTATTTGCATGTTGTTTGTCCTGTCGACTCTGCTCTTCACCCACCATTTGTCGAAAGGTGGTTTGGGTCTGAAAACGAGGGGATGAGCCCATATGGTTCATTGCTTGAGGATGGTCTTGAGGACTTCGAGTTCTTCAATTTGTTGATGTATACTTAGTATACTGTTCCTGAAGTTGAAAGACATCACTAATCTCACTTGTAGGGAAGCCTGTGAAACGGACACCTGCAGTGTGTTTCTTGGCGAAGAAGACAGGCCCCCTTTTTTTGAAAAGGGGCGTTCTTTTGTTCGTGCTTGATGTCTTTGGCGCATGTTTTCTGGTTGTGCAGGAGAGCATTTCATTCCCTACACCTGGGATATCACCACCGAGAAGTTTGGTTGGATGTGTCTCGGCATGCGACCGACCGGTTCCTCGACCGGTTCCTCCGGAACGAGTTCGGGGTTCCTCCCGAAAAGCAAGTGTAGAGTCGTCTATACTTAATCCCCAAAGGAAGAATATGCAATAGATTGTTTATAATTATATAATTTTAATTATCATTCAATTCTGTGAAACTGATTGTTTCACAATGGTGACCTTGCGATGATTCTTGAGAGAAACTGGAGCTTTAGAGGTTCAAGACCATCACGGGTTTTAAAAGGTATGCCGCCCATCTGTGCCAGGAAGTCAAGCATTGACTGAATCTGTCTCCCGCTACCTTGGCAAGCTGACACCATAGAGACCTCTCAGATCTTCTCACTCCCGCTACCAGCTCGACCCACAGCAGTTTGCACCCTCCGCTACCCAACGGTGACTCATCCGCACCACTTCGACGCTTCGCTCCGTCCGCTTCTCAGGCTATGCTGGTGGAACCTGGCAGGTGTTCCCTTGCTCTACTGCTACCAGTCGCTCGGTCGCGCAGGGCTCCGCAGACCTGCTCGGATCTGCACGATTGGTTTCGGTTCGCTCGACTCGCAATGCGAACACCCTGGTGGACTCGCTGTGTTCCCCCGCACCGTGCGGGGTGACGTGATGTAAGGTGTATCACCCTGTTGGATCCAGGTAATGATTTGTCGTGGATTGATGTGTTGGATTGCTGTATCTTTTTTTTGTCCGGTTTTGAGCTGGTGTACTGCCCGCCAAAAGCGGGGCTCGAATGGCAAGACGGTCGGGTGGACCGTAGCAGCCTTCTCACACTTCAGGAAACTTCAGGCGACAATGATGGCTCAGTTGCTCTGGGTGAACAGAACTACACCTTCACCAGGAGGGCCCCTGCATGTGCTTGACCTTTGGCATCATCCTGGTCTTTTTCACTTCAAAGAGTGGACATGAGAGTCACCGAGTAGGAACTGGTGGCGGAGGTATTTTGAGCTGAGGAGCTGAACTAACCTTGCTAAGGTGCTCCTCGGGTTGGTGCTGTTTGCTTTGATTGACCCACCAGGTATCTAGGGCACAGCTGGGAAATAGATGAATAAATTGCGTGACCGCCGCTGAGAAACCAAGTCATGCACCGACTGGGGGCAATGAAAGCAGACCATGGCTAGTTCAAAAAATCTTCCACTAGGGGCTCCTGGCCCTACTACTAGGAGCAAGGACGCTACCACCCCACCAAGATCAGCTCAATCAGCGAAATCTTTACCCCACCGAGTCCGAACGCCAATGCCCCTGGAGAAGCCGACCGCGCGACGAGCAACTCGCGGCTTGCTCGCGACTGGCTGAGGTCGCTCTTCTTGTGCCAATACTCCTGGGATGGTTTGACCCTTCCACCTCTACCAAGCCTCTACTATGCAGCCACTGATCTGCAACAGGTTGGGCAGTCCAACCCAAGGTTTGAGTTATTGTATATTTATAGAATAACACAGTAACATGAAAAATATAGAAGACGGAAATCAAGGCAGGAGTTCCCCTGACCCTCCCTGGGGCGCGCCCGGCACCCCCGAATCTTTCCCAAGTTCGTGCGCTCCAGAAGAATTCTGCAAACCAAGAGAACTCTGCCCGACACACTCCACATCCATCTTATGTCCTGTTGAATTTCAAGGGTGGACATCTCTCTCGTGTTCCCACGACCAAGTGAGCCAGTCGTGAAGAAGTTCGACGTTCGTGAGGAAGTTCGACGTGTCCATTGGAGTTCCTGAAAGGTCCATGTCTATGACCTTCTATGACTATAACTTGTCGATGCAAGTCGGGATACATGGTCATAGACATAGACAGTGAATCTTCTACATGTCATAGATGCAGCATTGTTTTATTCTATGATCTTTCTTTACATTCCCTCACTCAAATCTTAGGAACCAATGCACTGGATCGATGGTCCATTCGTCGCTCCATACCGTCCAAGCCGGCCCATGTCACGAACCGAACGACACGGTGACGGAATCACCCCGTTGGAAGGCGTTTCCACATTTGGCCCCTGATGGTTCAAACAGACGCCACGGGCGCCGGCATCGACACTGGTGGCCGGGTCACGACGGATGGCACCTTTGATCTCTCTATGGCACCTTTTCTTTGAGGTCTTGTCAATATGCTTGGTGGGCGCATATTGCATCTGGGACGAGGCCAACTATCAGAAGTGCTACTTCCGGGCTGACATGAGGCCGAAAAGCGGGTGTCAGCGCTTGGGTTGCCCTTTCGTTGGAACGGCTCTGTGTCGGTGTGTTCACTGTAACGTTTGCACCGTTGTATGGCTGTGGATCACTAAACACTGTCCCATACACACATATATATATATATATATATAAAGCATCTTGACTCAACTTGAGGGGCGTCCATGGCGTGGATGCTTCATTGGCTGTGGCCCCTTGAAATCCCGTGAACTGTTGGGGGATCATCAATTCATCCAAGACGTGCCAAGACCGACCCTCCAATGGCGCCGAAACCTCAACGGGCACCTGATTTGGGGGAGACCCACCTCTGCAAGAATCCATTTGCATACCTTTTGAGAAGTGTCTTGGGGGTGAAGCTCGGCTTCAACGGCTTCAGTTTCAGCGAGCTTCCGAGTTCGATCATGTTTGATCCAGATGAGTCATATCTGAAAGAGAGATGGTAACAAGATGCAATAAGGACTGTTGGTACACTTGAGCAACCGCCAACACGTGCAATGACTATTTTAGTAAAGAGCGGTCGTGATGTTCAAGAATTTCGCTAAAACCTGCAATAGCGATAGGCCCCCCCTCAAAAGCGATAACCCTGCTGAATCATGTCCTCTACTTGACAGTATAATATAATATAATATATTTTGGCAGACGCTCACTTGGAGTCTGCAGGTGTTCGAGTTTCCTTTTCCGGCTCAATGCCTCATGGTTTTCGGTGAGTTGCAGTCTGAGTCTGCAGGTTTTCTTAAGTAGTCTTAAGCCATTGCAAGTCTTTTTCCACGAATCCTTCCCAAACAAGAGCTGCTGTCAATTCCAGAGCACGGTTCACTCGGTGCGTCTTGATCTCCACTTGTCTTTCGACCGCTCAGGGGGCAGTTGATCCGACGCGATTTGTTCCCCACCTTTCGGCACATCGAGAATCCGCCTCTCGGCCCGAATGGACGACACCTCGACCGACGCCCATCTCAGACCTCCCGGAGCCACCGGTCCACTCCCGCGAGGACCGGGAGACTGACGGTCTCCGCACCGATCGGTCTGAACCTGAAGCGACCATGCTGTGATGACCATGCTGTGGGCCCGAGGAAATACATCAAGTGTGAGCAAGGCGTGTTGCTGACCGATGGATGGCCGCTTGGGTGGAAGCTGAGATGGCCATGTTGGGTGGAAGCTGTCATGCTCTGGTGGTCGTGGAAGACCACGTGTCATTGAGACTCATCCCTGATGTTAATCATATGGGAGCCAGGAGAAGAGCTGTCTAGAGTCTAGACTCTAGATACTTTGGGTGTTCTGGCTGGGTTGCAGGTTTCTCACGGTTTCTTGGACATCCAAACTTCTTTGGAACTGACGACGAACAGTATGGTCAACTGAGGAATGAGCAGAGCCTACTGTGCTTTCCCACAACAACAATCTAATGATATCTAATGGAAGTGACTAGAGGCTACGGGGTATAGGTGACTATATATACATCCATGTTAATTTGATGTATTTGTTACATACTTGCAAATAAACAAGATCTGCCCCAGAAGTGGGTGGAATCATGTGGAATCTGCTCGAAAGACCCACCGACGCGTGGCGTGACGTCCGGCCTGCAGTTTCCTTGTTTGCTCGGTCGACGAAGCCCAAATGGGATGGGTGTTGCGAACGGCCTTCCGAGGTACGGGAAGGCCAGAAAGATCCACTACACCGCCGACACGCACCTGTGCAGCGTTGAACAAACACGAAAGAAAGGGTTGCGATGTTTGAAGGATTCTGTTTTCTGCCAAATCCGAATCCGATGGCGATCAGACGGAGGATCCATGTGTGATTTGGACGGAGAGTTGATGACGAATTGTATATGGCATAGACCTATATGGCCAATCCATGACCATGAGAATACATTTCGTACAATTCCTACCTTCGTCACACATCATAGCACTCCGTACTTCTGGGCGCAAGCATCTCCAACTCTCCAACTCAGCAGTTTTTGCAAAAAAGAACATCTAAACACCAGTGGTTTGCATCATCCCTGCAGGTTTGCACCGGTTTCCACAGTCCACCAACTAGCTACGCATGGCTACTACGCATGGCTATTGTACTATACGCGTGGCTGTGCGTGAATGTTCGGTCACCACGGTCTGCCGAAGTCCGGGACCTAACATCCAATGCTGCAATGCCTCATCATCCAAGTTTAGTAATCTACGAGATTTCCGGTGGCTGCTATAGTATTGAGCTAGAACCCCCTGATCCAGATTCTTTGTGGTACCAACCACAAGTGGATCCCAAGTCCTTCGGCCGAGGTCAATGGCCTTGCTCTGGGGCCTGGGCTGCGGCTTCAGCTCCTTCCTGCCGCCGCTCAGACGAGAGGGAACCAGCTCTTTTTGGGCATTTACTCTAGCCGATATTAGACAACCAGAGTTAGGATGAGTTAGTTGTTCTATTTTTACCCATTTGCTGCAGGTTCAAAAGATTAGCATCCTACACCACAGGAGCTCGACCTTATCCCTGGTTCCTTGTATATACTAAAAATCCCGGGTTCCTTGTATATACTAAAAATACATCATATTATATATATATATAGCATGCTTCAAAACCTGTGAGAAGACCGCTCGTCGGCCCCATCCTTGCTTAAAGACGTTTACAGATGCGCATCTCAAGAATGCACAATACATATGTTTGCTTTTTCGTAGCTCGAGGTACTTCTACTTTTGCTTTTTCGTGGCCATGATCACTCACCGTACCTACAGAGACGAAGTGCGGTGTCAGAAGAAGTATGGGGCCACCTGGGACAAGTACCTCAAGGCGTGCACGACCGGCGCGAGTTTTCGGCGCAAGTGTTCGGCTCAGAAAACCCTTGGAGACTGGTGAAAGAACATGTGCAAAGTCCAAAACCCATCAACATGATCTAACTATTGCACATTGTGGCAGCACGGCTTCAATACCACCACCCACCACACTCACTAGAATCAATAAAACCGTTGAAACACAATTCCATCAACTCAAATGCATGCAGCTCAAAAAGCATCCGCCAGTAGGCAGTCTAGATCCATGACAGCCAATTCCATCCAATTCCTATGTCCATACATCTTCCGACCCACAAACCACCGCCTCCCACCTGACAGATGAATGTCATCCAAACCCACCACGGGCTGCGTTTCTTTGGGGGAGTGTATGGCGGTTTGTTCTTGTTGTCGTTCTGTTCGATCACCGACACGGGTTTGGTGATCGTTGTGTAGGCGGTGCCATCCAGCCACTTGGCCACTGATGGCGGGTGTTCGGTCGATGTGATGCGGGGATCAGGGCGCTTGGGCACGTTCACCCGTCACCCGTCACCCACCTGAGTGTTGGGTCCTCAAGGCCAAGTTGGGCCCTAGGTCTCGGGAGGGTGCAGTCCTTGGGTGGGTCGAATCCCGAAAGACCCACAGGCCAGACATGTAGACTGAAACCATTCATTTGGTTTTGGTTTGGCGAATACACACTCTCTGCCCTATTTAGGCGAAACACGCCCAATCGATCGGCCCATTCAAAAAAAGTCTTTGAGGCTTCACAGCCATGGGGCCATGAGCCTTGAAGCAAGACCTGGTACGCGAAAGGACACAGAAACAATGCAAACATGCACTCCTGGCCTCCCAGATCAACACACCCGAGCGAATCGCGTACTCGGTGGGGTTCACCGGTGGGGGCACCCACCGGCCGGGGACACTGGCCGGGAAAACAGATGTGGTGGCTCAGGATTCATCCCTGGGGTGTGGTGAGGACCGGCAATTCGTTGATCTGAGTGCCGTGTTGGGGTCGTTCGGGGGTGGGTAGGAGCTTTCAGAGGGCCTTGCCACAAGGAAAACACAGCATTCATTCATGAACATAGTCAGGCCGATGACGAGATGATCGTATTTGGAGAAATATATATATATATAATACACATACACTCTCGAACCAAACTCAAATCTGAGTATTTTCACGAACCCATTCATCCCCTATATCCCCCATGTAAAGCATTATGAAAGCCACCACTTGGGATTTGAGCCAAGAGTTTTGACGGGGTAAGTTTGTATCATGTTTATCCTATTCATATTCCATGGTTTTGCGGAGCCCTATAATATACTGTAGTACTGTAGTACTCAAATGTTGTTGGAATACGTTCGGGAGGTGGACAGGGTGAGATTTAAGCATGACAAGTGCCTTGCGATGCTGCAGGCCACTGCATGCATCCAAGCATGTGTCCATCATTTCATATTCAGATGCCCAACACTGGCAAGATACCCAAAACATGTCGTGTCAAGCTGCTGCTGGTGGTCGTTCCCAAGAACACCACCGGTCAGATACACAACGGATACCAGATGCGTGAAACCGAACAGTTCTTTGGAAGACACTATGGATACGAATCCCCTTGCGGCCCTAGCAGCAAGCATGTGAGTAAGACAACTGTGGAACACCTTCACCGTTTGTGACATGTCAGGGAGTACAGTATCAGTTCTTCCCACTCAGGAGTCCTGCGGCCTTTGCACGGGACCCAACCAGTATATATATATATAATTGAATCATGCAGTATGTCTGTCCGAGAATGTCCTTGTGTGTGTGTGTGTGTGTTTTGTTGAGGACGTTTTGAGTGGTACAGTTTCTTCCATGTGTTTCCGAAAACTAAAGCAACTTCCTCCTATGACCTGTCCAAGGTTTCTTTTGCGCCATTCTTTCGCCCCAAGACTCGGTTTTCGTGAGTCACATTGGGGATGTCATTTGTTGAGTATGTTTGAAGCGGGTGGCTTCAGACATGAAAAAGCACATCCCGAACACTCTCGGGGTTCTGAAAGGCCGCTAGGCCGCCGGTTGGAGGATTCCCACACCCTCCAGAACTTTCTAGGAGTGGACAAGACCTGCAGGTTGTAGAGGAGGGCAGAGGAAACGTGAGCATGAGGAAATTCGTCCAACTAGCGGCCATTGTCCACTCCTGTTTCTTTTACTACTAAAAGCGGCCAACCATCCAGGAGAGATTAAGCCTCCTCTTTGATCTTTGAGAGCAAAAATTCGATGCGAAGGTTGAAGAGCCCGCATGACGGATGTTGAGATCTCAACATCATCACCTTTTCAGGGATGACTGAGCTGCTGATGGATATATAATATACAACTGCATGTAATTAACATGGAATCATTGAATCAATGTCAGAAAGATTCCGAACACGGATGCGTACCAAGCTTTGTACCTGCAGCCAAACTGCATTCTGGCATATTTTGGCCATGGAATCCATGGAACGTCTTGTAAACCATGCAGTGAGATAAAAAGCATTAAAAACCACAGGATTTGGATCCCTCCCATTAATGTGAACCTTCGGGAGGGCTAGGGAAGCTGGCCCCCCGAAGAAGCGCGCAGCAAGCCGCTGATCGCGCAGCCACCACGGCTGCCACCCGAAGCCGCCTGCTGGGTGCAAAGAAGAGGACGCGCGAGGCGTTGGCAGGTGTGGTGCAGTACAGCAGTTGTTGTAACAAGATCTGGGTAGCCAAAGTGTCTCTAAGAAGCCCGGTTCGCTTCTGGTGTGTCGGTTAGGACTTGTTACAGTAGGACTTTAGTTTGCTGGATGTTGCCGGATCACTGCCTTAGAACAACATTTCATCAAAAGAGTAAGCAGAGGTTGGCTGTTTCGGTGTTTTATTGTTTTTATGTTGCTTTCCATAAGAAGAGCTTGAATCAAATGTGTCACTGTAGTTACTATCACTGGAGTTGTAGTGTCTTTTGATGTTTTGACGGTCCTCCATGGTAATTCAAGCCGTTTGACCATTTTGAATATCATGTCTCAGCAGGAGAACCCACGCCCGAGCACTTCGAGAACATTGGAGGGCTTGGGGTCCTCTTAGATTGAACCACAGCAGACATGTTCAATACATACATAAAGATACATCACCTCACATCACATCACAATACAGTACGTACAATACAAGACATTACATACAAGACATACATGGAATACGCCACAATGCAAAACATTACATTGCGCTAATAGCTAATACATGGCATACACATGACTTGACTTGACATGACATGACACACATACATGCATCCATTCATCCATCCATCCATCCATCCATCCATCAATCCAGACAGACAGACAGACAGACAGACAGACAGACATCCATACATCCATACATTCATACGTCAACGGAATCTCGAAGAACTTCACGTCCGGTCATTCCTGTTCGATCCACTTTGCCATGGAGGTTGTGCATAGCAACAATAACGTACCTCGCACATGTTCACACATTTTTACATTCATAAATACATGCATATACCTGCACACATACATGTTTCTGTTTTTGTCACTTGATCGCTTCCAGTCCATCAAAAGTTATAGCTGGCGCGTGGAGCGCAATCCTTGTTGATCCTTGGAGCGTGGAGCGTGGAGCGAGCGCAATCCTTGATGAGGAGACCTATGGTAGCCATACCGAATGCCCCATTCGCATTCGGACAGCACCCCTTTGGACTTGTCCAAAACTGGTGTTTTTTTAGACAGACCAAGATGCACCACCTCAGAGAGTTTTAAGAGCAACCAAATGAGTGGGTGAAAACTGCTGTCCGACACAAGTCTACACCTCAGTGGGTGGTCATTCCGTGTGCTTTTCGACTGGGTTTGCCCGGGATTTTCGACTGGGTGAGAAACTCTGAAAGCTCTCCGTCACGTTCAGATCAGTCCTCGCTGTTTTTTTGCTTGCGGATCGCACGTTCTTTTTCCATGGATATCCATCTGGCCGTGGGTCAAAACCACCAGACCGAAAAAGGGCCCGACACCATGGTGTCGTTGGACCGCTCCCTACACGGTGGACCGGGCTCCAAGACGGAGACCGTAACAGCCCTGGCCGGAGGACAATGGAATCCGTTCGTTGATTGAGAGAGTGCATGGACCTGAAAACGAACATGGACCCGGGTCGAAGGATTCATGGAGCAGAGTGTTTTGCTCAACATGCTGAACCATTGGTTTTCAGGGTCCATGAGATCATCTGACCGGCGGGGTAAGTGCCAGTCTGCCAGGGATCGATCCAACCCGCACTACGCAGAGGCGAAACCCGCGACGGAACCGACACGCCGCACGAACGCGTTCGCGGCGCCGCTCGCACAGTGATGGGCTTTTGTTGGTGTGGTGCAAGCAAGCGGTGAAAATAATGAAGAATCGTGGGCAATGTAGAAAAAGAGTCAGGCGAATCCCGAAACTCCAGACTTGTTTCGAGCTGGGCTGTGCACATTGCATCGCCCTCGGTCTTCTCGGTAGGTGAAAGACTTCCTCTTCCACCTGGCCGTGAACCACGAGGTGGTGCCCGAGTTCGACGGGGTGGGTGTGCGGCGGCCCAGAGATTGACCAATGCAGTTCGAGTCCGTGCACCAGGGTGAGAGACCTGAATTGCTACTAGGAACAAGTGCATCGCTTCTAGTAACAAGTGCCTTACTAGTACTCGGTTGCTGAGTGGCACTCTTTTTTACCTTTTTTTTTCCCATCCATTTCTGGCTGGTATATAATTTCTTGCTTGCACCAGCGGGGCCTTTTATTTGATCAAGCTCTCCGGGCATTGGGAGAATGGGCCCGAAGAGAAGGACTGGTTCAAAGTTGGAGTGGAATTTTGAATTGGTACATTTGCTCGTTGAGGACTCGGGCCCAAGTGGTGAAAGATTTGAAACTTAAGGCAATGGCCTGGCTTCCCAGATTGCAGAGTGATTGTTTGATTTTCGTCAGTTGAGGCAAGCGCCAGTGGTGGAAAATTGTCGCCCACCTTGTTTGGCTCTTGACAATTTGATCACTGTCACCACTCATACCACTATGTGACTTCAGTCCAGCTTCTTTTCTTCCCTCCATGAGGCTCAGTGTTCCCCACGCCATCAGCGTGACGGCAGACTGTTGTGGCTATGGAACTCCAGTATGCCTTGCTCGCTTGATCAGTGGCTTTTCTTTCAAGCTTTAGTGGGTGAGAGTTCTAACACTTGGCCTCTAGCTTTGTATGGACCGTTAATTGTAGCAAAATTGAACGAGAGTCGGCAAGGTTAGAGTTTGGCCAGGTGTTGGCGCTTCACTACCTACCAGTGTGTTTTGAGATTCGAATGCTATCAGAGAATGATGCCACTGCTCGAGCCTTGCTGCAGTCCACACCGGGCTTTACCAACGTCAAATTGGAGGCCTCGGCCATCGAATGGGACATGCGAGAAAGGCGATCAGTCGATTCGGATCTATACTTTGGGTCCTCGCCCTGCCAAGACTTCTCCAGTGCTGGTTGCAACAAAGGACTTTTCTTTCAGCCTTGGCAGTTTCACAGGTCTTTGTTTGAGTTGGTTTGGTTGCGCTTACTGCTTTCCAGGAACAGCAGGGAGTAATGGCTCCTTGTGGTTTGATCAATGTGACCGAGTGGTGACCGAACGTCCAAGGGTGCGAGCTCCAGTGTTTTGACAAAACAAACGTTGTTCGGTTGGCACATCTCTGCAAAATCTCAGGCGTTCGTGCTTGAAAACGTGCCTGGACTGATCCGAAAACAACACCGAGCTGATTTCGAATCTGCTGTGGCCATTTTCAAGGAGGCAGGATACGCCAAGGCCTCAAAATTGTGTTCTTTAAGCCTCCGGACTTGTTGCACATACGTCTCATGATTTATGAGGTCGTATTGCACAAGCTCCTGACCACTTCGCAGCATGGGATCCCGCAGAAGCGGGAGCGAGTGTATGTTCTTGGAATTCGCAAAGATTCAATCAATCCACAAATGTCTCTGGATGATATTTTCCCGCCACCGTTGAAGTCTCCAGCCTGGGTCCCAGACATAGTTATCGTTGCGTAATATGAGGTGCTTACAAACTCACATCCCTACACATGTATGGGTGTTGCGCAGCGCATACCGTGGTACTTGTTTTTCAGGTCAATTTGCCAATGTTTCTGCAGAAGGAACCATTTCCAAAGTTGGAGATCTTGGATGAGACGAATCAGTGCAACACGTTCAAAGAAAATTTACAGTTTGCCTTGCGCTTAGTGTTGGTGCACTGAACTGTTTGTCGTGGCCAAAGCAATAATGAGAAAAATCAAATTTCTGAGGCAACTGCAGCTTTGGGGCCTGCGGCGCTGCGAGACTTTGGGTCCTTAGTTGACATTGGGGCAGGACTTCACAAATGGTGCGGAAGAGAGGTGGCCCCAGCAATCACGAGTTCGAGAGGTGCTTCCAGCTCATATTATGTACCCCATCGACGTCAAAAGATTCATGTTCTGGAGTTGGGCCGTTTGCAAGGCTGGGTCAACGATTGTGCAAGTGATGCTTGCCTCCCGAGACGTCTCACCACTATGTGGAAGCAGGTGGTAAGCTCAAGATTTCTATGAGCTTGTGGAGGAAACAACACAAAAAGAAGACTGAGAAGAAGGGGCCAACCGTGTGCCCACACTGCGGCAAAGAGGCTAGGGCAGAAATGGTTTCATCAACTGTTAAGTTAGCGTTGTTCCCCAATCCATCACGCTTTCTTCTGCAGATCACAAAGACGAAGAAACAAAAGACTGCGGCCTGAGCTAGATCCTCAGTCCCAGCTTGGGTTTTTCCTTGCTTCCATCCGCTTGTGCAGTAAATTTAGAAAGGGTGTTTCCACCAGATGTGATTCTGCCATTGCTAACTTTACCAACTCCTTAGGATTCTTGCTGACGCTGAGAGACCAAGCGCAAATTTTGACGGTGCTGAGACGGAAAAATACCAAGAGAAGCGGGACGTCATCCAAGTTCATGATATGCCATGTGGCTTTTCTGTTTTAAAAATTGCACACAGATTCGAAAAGCATGAAAGACGTTTGATAACATGGCTTGATGGCCACTGCGCAATTCCTGGCCATGCCAGGCGGTTGTGATCGGGGCAGTTGGCGGATGGCATCTGATCAGCGGGTCTAAAAAGAAAAAAAGAGCTGGCTTTTTTTCAATGAGAACCCGGCGAATGAGAGTAGTAACAAGAAGCTATTAGAAACAAGAACCTAATAGCTTCTTGTTACTACTAGTAAGGCAATTGTCACTAGTAGCGATGGCCTCCACCTAGTAGCTTCTTGATCTTCTTGATCCTAGTAGTAATGCCAGAAGATACTAGTACTGTAGCGTCCTTGCTCCTAGTAGCGATGCCCTTGTTA